CCGTCCCCCTCAAAACCAACAACTGAAACATCAACATCAACAACAGGACCCCCGCCCTCTTGGCACTCCTGATCGTCGACAGTGGCAAAAAAAAAAAATGCCCCCTTACCTCCCGCGCCGCCTGCTCCTGCGCTGCTGCTGCCGCTGCCTCCGCCCTGCTCCGCCGCCGAGCCCGGAATGCCCGCTGCACAGATACGGCAACCTTCGCCCTCGCCCTCGTCAGAATCGCCGCCCGCAGCACATCCGCCTCTCGGCGGGCAGCCCTCCCCCGGTATAAGGCCTGCACCAGGACAACCATCGACGTGATTCGGGTGCGTTCTCCGCGCGCGAACTCCCTCCCCACCCGGCCCCTCATCACCGCCTGCAGGCGTACCGACAGCAGTGCACGGTCGATTCAGAACACGGGAAGTTTTCGCACAAAGGAAGATGATCGGCGACACATACAGTATACATGGTCTGGTGTAGTGCGGCGGTAGAGTGCAGGTGAGGTCGTTGTTGTTGCCATGGGACGGGGCGGTACAAGTGGGGTGATGCCGTGGGCAGCAAACTCTCAATGGGTGTACTCGCACACGCACTGGGTCAGTGCGAGCTGTCCACAAACCTCGCGATACATCTACCACTGAACGTTGCGGGTGATCAATCGTGCATTAGTCAACGCGTCAGCCTTAGGAGACACCCGTGTCAACCGCTCGACAGCCCGTCGGGTCCACCCACACCGTCCCCTTCCAAAACCAACAACTGCAGCAACAACAACAACAACAACAACAACAACAACACCCCCCCCCCTTGTTACTCCTGATCGTCGACAGTGGCGAAATAAAAGGCCCCTTACCTCCCGGGCCGCCTGCGCCCGCGCTGCTGCGTCTGCTGCCTCCACCACGCTAGCCACCGCCCCCTCGAGCGCCGCCGCCACCGCCGCCGCGGCTGCCGCTGCCCTCTCCCTCTGAAAGGCGGCACCCGCACGTGAGAGTACCAGAGGCACGGCGTTTGATTGCCAGGTTGTATGATACTCGATAAACAAGGGGCGGAACACAGGCTCCTTTTCCACCATTGGCGTTCGATTGCGTCTGACACTTGCCATCGAGCTCACAAATGGGAATCTAGTCCAAACATTCTTGATATTGCGTCCCCAAAACTGAAACAAAAACAAAGGGAAGCACAAGACCCAGCCATCTGCGATCTTGTATATTTAGCTATCGTGACTACACCATCGGTGTATATATTGCGATGGTAGGGGCCTACCGCTGTCTGCTATTAGGCAGGCGTACCTTCTCCCGAGCGGCCTGCATTCGGGTGTTCCTACCCTCGGACTGCCGAGGCATTGGCGCGACGTGCATGTATGCCGAACGGGGTCCCCGAAAGCGGCACGATGCAACAGGAGAGGAAGGACGTTCAGTAATGACTTGCAGGGTGGAAAATGATGAAAGGATAAGGATGACATCGCGTTGTTCTTGCGTCGCCGAGTCAATGAGGTAAGCATACTCACGACAGCAGCCGTACTTCTCTCGGGCAGAGCGCGAGAGTAAAAATAGCAATACTGCAAACCACCCCGCAACCTCTGCTCAATTTCCTTGTCTTTTCGGGATAGGACGTTCTTCCGCCTCGCGAAAGCAACACTACCCTACCCGGGACTCCACGAAAGCACGGCGTCAGGCACAAGAGCAGCTCGGACACGCCGCGCACGATGCATGCATAGCCCCAAAGCGCAACCACCGCCAAGTAAACACCCACCAAACGGGTGTCGGACCATCGGCCGTTGCCCACAATCCCCGCCAACGCACGCGGCCCCACCCCAGGGGTTCCCGTGGTGTTGGGTGTCACCGCCGCACCCTCCACCCCGAAGCCCCTTGCTGGGTAACCCGTCCGCCCCGCCCGCGCCATGGGCCCCGCCGCATCCACCCCCATGTCCGGCCCTCCCCTGTTTGCCGTCCCTCCCCCAAGGCCGTGACTTCCACCTTGCGCCGACTGGAAGTGACCCCTGTCGCCGTGTGCTATTCCCGGTCCGTGCAACGTCGGCCCCGCCCGGGAACTGCTGTACCCGCCACCGCGTTTGCTCGGAACAGCGTGGGTGGGAACTCGTGCCCTGCCACCTCGCAACGGGGATATGTGGCCTCCGCCACCACCACCACCACCCCCGCCGCCGCCGCCGCCGCCGCCGCCGCTGCCACCGCCACGGCGTGACGCACCGACGGCATCACCGGGTTGTGGGCCGTAGTGCCTAAAGGTTTCGCCCCGGTCCCGTCCTGGCCAATCGCGGGTAGCGTTTCCCCCGCCTCCCCCTCCACCCTTCGCGCCCGCCCTTGTGCCGCCGGCACCGCCGGCACCGCCGGCACCGCGTGCCGTACCGACGCCGTGGCCATCATCGCGGGCCGGGCGATAGTAGCCATCGCGTTCCTCCCTGCCCCATCCTCGCTGATCGCGGGTAGCGTCCCCCCAGCCTCTCCCTCCACCCTCAGCGCCAGCCTTTGCGCCGCCGCCACCGCCGCCACCGCCGCCGCCGCGGGCTGCACCGCTGGNGGGGGGGGGGGGTACCTGCCCCGGCTTTCGTCCCTACCCCATCCTCGCTCCCCGCGGGAAGCGTGTCTCCTGCGCCGCCCTCCTTTCCTGCGGGAAGCGTTTCCCCCGCCCCTCCCTCCACTCCCCGCGCCATCCTTTCCGCCCTTTCCACGCCCCCTTCCACCACCGCCATGGCCACGACCCGGCATCGCTTCAACAGCAATCTGCTCAAAGGCCAAACGAGCGACAAATCGACGAGCGGTTGGAAATTGGTTTCGGGGCTGGCGCGGTCACACAGGTATGCGCGTCGATGCATGACACCCAGAATTAGATGGACATTTATTTTTTCCACATTAATAGGCCGAACGGGGACAGGAAGTGTTAACATCGCAGGGCAGGTGCTGACTGGTTTCTAGCCACACATACAACCATACATCCGGATTGGCAAACATCATGCACCATGCGCATAAGTACGCAGGGCTCCTGGATATTGCCGCTGAAATCTCACTCTCTCCAAAACAAACAGTGGAGGCAGACATACCATACTGCTGTAAGATGACTTTATAACTCGAACGGGTAAAATTTCTCTGATCCGATGTATAGAAATCTTTTGTTACAGTCGGAGACAGACATACTGCTGTAAGATGCTTGTCTCCAACCGCTTAAATTTCTCTGATCCGATGCGTACAAGTATCGTTCAACACCGGCAGCTGCAAGTGTAGTTAGTGCAGCAGTATTAATACTTCAGTAGTATATTTAGCAGGTGCCAAGATACGTACTTGAGCAATGGATGAAATCCATAACGGGCCATCACACTATGTGCGCTCCACAAACTTTTGTGCGGCGCACAACAGCAGTGTGGACTGAGATAGTACAGCTGTGCACGGTGCATGAGTCTAAACAAGCACAAGTGAAAAAAACGTACCTGCAATCCATGCGACAAGCGCTCCAACCCGTACAAAAAGGAACATAGACTTGGCATGTGGCCAAAGTCAGTAGTAATGATTGTACAACCTAGGCAGTTTGGATGGGTGGATCCTCACTTCGGATGGGTGGATCCTCCTCCCAAACAGCACATGGAACACCGAGGCAGTCTCAATCTTACAACTGGTACCAAATCTTCCTCTCTCAATCTCTCTCAATGTGTGTTTCCTACAAAAGGAGTATGCAGGGAGAGGCTGCAGCAGCAGCAGCAATGGTTTGAAGTTGGATCGAGGTACAACCTGCTCTCACCTCCTCGGTTACTTGGAACCGTCCGGTGTACTCGTCAGCAGTCCCGTGCCTCCTCTCCTGAGTCTCTAGACTTCCTCTCAGGCACCCGCGAACCTCTTCAGGATACGCACAGGCTCGATCTACCCTACCCTCCAGACTAAACTCTCGCTATCGCCTAAAGACAAGATCCTGCAAGAGCAAAGAGCCGTGAACACACCGCTCGCTGTGCCAGTCCCCGATATGCCTGTCGCCGATGCTGCAAGCTACACCAAGTCTCACTCAGCACGATGAGTCAAACCCTGGTCACGAGAGACAGGGCCTCGAAGCGGATGGTTTGAGATACATCAACCAATCAGAGAGCGCCATGTGGTTGGCCCTGCAGAAACGTGCGGGAAAAATAGAAAAAGGCAACCGTCGAATCTTCACAAAGATCTGCTTCTTCAAGATGGATCTCCCTCTCTCCATGTACAACGAGACATGGACACCATAGAAACCACTGGCGATACATGCCAACGACGGTAAGTCCCGCTCTAACCGCACGTTCTTGCCGGCCTCACGAAGGATCGGGATGACTTTCGCAGAAGCCGAGTCATATGCAGTCATGTGCGCGAGACGCAGTCGGCACATCTGCTGATGTGTAGAACCAGCTTCACTACAGCATGTGCTATACACTGCCTGTACCGCTGTAGAGTTTTGCGAAACATTTTCCGCGAGAAACTGCAAGACAGCGAGGGTGGAATGGGCGGGGGAGACAGAGAGAATCAGCAAGCGTTTTGGGGGTCCACTCACTTCTACCTCGCACAACTGCAGCAGCAGAAACAGCGGCATGTACTACGATTGCCATCGGTGGCATGTGTATAACTATACAGCAGTTCTACGCGTGGCTGGCCCCTCTACTACTGTAGAAATATGTAGTTCGCCCCACCCATACACAACATAGCAGTTGGGACGCTGAGAGTCTCCTGTCATATACAACCTCTCTATTACCCTCCCCAACAAAAGCAAGAGTTCACTGTTACCAACACGAGCTTACTGCTGTACAAGCTTGTGCGAAAAAGCCGCGGCCTCCCTCAGCACCTCTGGCCAGCAATCGACAGCTGCTGCACACCAAAGAACGCCCGAAGGCGAGAAAGAGTATATCTCATCTCTGACCGACTGAGTTGGCTCGCCCTCGTGATAGCCCACCGACTATCCCGGGCGAATAAGATCTCATCATGTCAGAACGCTTGACCGGGCGGGACAGCAGTAAGTACGAGTGTGTGTGTGTCCTTTGTGTCCTACTCCGAGAAGGGAAGGGTACGTATCATCGACCAGCAGTCACCCCCACTGCGGTACTACTGGTACTGCTGCTGATCTGAGAACGGTACGTAGTATCGGGAGACTTGCACAGGGCACAATGTACGCTTGTATGTTTTGCGGGAAGGCTTTCTGCCAATAGTACATGGTGCACCCGAGTGCATGTGTGAGGCACAATATGTGGAACTTGTGACCGACAATATACGGGAGGCAACATGGCTACTCACAACGGAATGGATGAAAAACAAAGATCAAGCGACTTGCATCATAGTTGAAAGCTCGAGCAGATGGAAAATGAACTACTTACAATACAGGTGTTCAGACTTGTATCCATATCATGTGTAGAAACTTCTGCCGTAGCACACAGCAGCTGTACCGTGGACTGCTGCTGTACCACGTAGTGACGGCTGGCTGTGTACAGCAGCAGTATTTCCCAGTTTTTCTGTTGCCACTCTGTGGGTCGTGCCAGCTCCCGGTTGATGTACGGAGGGGTGAAAAGGCTCGCAACCCATCGGCGGGCAGCGTGTCTCGCGCCCCGCGGAGGCGCAGTCATGGTGCAATGAGCTTCAAAGTGGTGGCATGTTCGCCTCAAGCCACAGGTAGGTACAAAAAATATCCGTCTGTGGAGGAAAAGACAGGTCTCTGTTTCGATCACCCCTACTGTAGTTCCGTCTCCCGTGTTAAACAACACGCTGCTGGTCGATGCAAGTCCCCAAATCTTTCTCTTGGAGGGAGAACCAAGCACACAAGCCCCCACTGCTGTGCGCCGTGCCTCGCTCCCGGCTGAGGCGCGGCCACGAGTAAACGAGCGTGCCGAGGTGGCGGGGCAATTGCCTATCTTACACGGTGTAGAGAAGCAGTGGTCGCTCGACTGCTGGGGAGCCAGACGACAATCACGACAGCTTCCCCTCTTGGGATTGGATTAGATCAGCAGATGATGATGCACACAGCCAGTAGGGCGCTTGTCTTTGCGTCTCGCAGGGCCTTTCACGGGCCGGTGGCACCACGGCTCCTCAGGGGCAGAAAATCGAAAATCATGCTCTTGTTGACAAACGCCTCTCTGAATAACTCGGCAAACAGGGGTGGGCATTTTTTGGATTCGGTGTGGATTTCATTTTTTTTCGTTTTTTTTGTGGAGCAGACACGGCATGAGAAACGGGCGAGTGGAAGCTCTGTTGAGGTTGCGTTGGTGTTCGATCGACCGTGTTCGGCATGGAGTTTGGTTCAGTTGGTGTTGGGGCAGAAGCTTCGAGCAGCTTCGTCCTTCGCACCGTTTGCTCGGCCCGTTGAGGCCGTTGGCCGAGCGAAAAAAAAAGCAGCAAGCGACTGGGTGGTACGCACGCAGCATACAGGTGCCTGGTTGGTGTCCTCCCGCTTGGGTGTAGGGTTTTTCGTTCCTACTTGGTTGATTCGGCGGGACATATGCATACATATCTCGACCATGTGTTGCAGATGGTAAGCCGGCGTATTGATGTTGCCTTTTAATGTCTTTGTGCCTGCTCTGCATGCACGGACTCTCTTCGTGTGCACACTTGCTGTAGACGGTGCACAGCTGCTTTACAGTAGACCGATGTGCCGATGTGGCTTCGACACCACCGGTCGGTGATGTAGGTTATTATTCTGAGCTTCGAGATGAGAAATACATTCCCACGTGCATGCGTCTTCTTGACTACCGCCAGCCACACTACCAGCCGCTAGCTAGAAAGGCGAAATGGTAGGACAACAATGGGACGAGTAAACGAGGTACGGATGCACAAGGACCAGTCAAACAAAAAGTGACAGCTCTGACCTGCATCGAGCAACAACCAATTTTTGGTATCGCCCACTCGCTCGAAACATCCGACTCAGGGCAAATGGTTCTGTTGAGCCTCCAGGCTCGCAAGGAGAGTTCTTGATGTCGTGCCTCGTGTTCCTTGTGGTCGTTTGCATGTTTGCATACCTAATGGGCCGGTCAGCTTGCACGGTCGCATGATGTACAGTATCATGCGATGGGGTTCTACCCTCTGTAGGCTGGTCGTTGCAGCCAGATCATGCCCCCCTCGTGCGCTTTCTGATTGGTCGCAACGATTTTTTTTCACAGTCTTGCCTGACGGAGACCGCCCACGTCTGGGAATTGTCCTCCGGACAGCAATAGTGTCTTCCTCCAAACACGACCATGCACGCACGAGTCGCATCCACGTGTCCGATGTGACCAACAAAGAACGGGTGGGTTAGGTTAGAGCGATTGGTTTTGCCAATTCCTCAAAAGAATCGTCAAAATCGGGTCGAGCGTCGTCACTTGGAATGGGGAAGTATGTACAATAATGAAGGAGGAATCGTCGCATTCGCCAACGACGTCGGGTCCCACCCGCAGCACACTAACTACCAAAGAAAGTGGCCCGCGATCACTGGCTGTATCCTGAACACGAAACAGCAGTGTTCATATTTCGAAAATTCATCGAAAATTGACCGCCTTAGACTTAACATGTTGGCAGGATATCACAGGTGGAGGTCGACCCCCCTTCCCAAAAATGTCGGATGCCCTCGCCCCCTTGTGGAGACCTTGACAAGGTTGAACACCTTGGGGAAGACAACCAAGGCCTCGAAAGGGGAAAAATCGTATTTTCGAGGTATTTTCGAGGCCTTGGTTGTCTTCCCCAAGGTGTTCAACCTTGTCAAGGTCTCCACAAGGGGACGAGGGCATCCGACATTTTTGGGACGAGGGTCGACCTCCGCCGGTGATGTTTCACGTCACGTACACGCATGCCTGGCACAGCAGTGCCAGGTACACAGAGCGAGCAGCATCGAGTGAACGTTGGCATTTATTTGCCGGAGGTGCAGTGTCGATCGCCGTTTATCGAATACAGCAGTCGTGGTCCCGCAATAATAGCTGTAGCTGTCCGGTCAAAAATACCACAGCCCGGTACAGCAGCGGCATAGTGCCCACGAAATCGCTCAGCACAGGGAGGGTCGGAAACGCCCAGTTTCGTCAGTTCTGCCGGTGGCTCTCTCTAGTGCCGGTTTACCTATATATTTTCAGCCAGGGCACGTGCCGGTGCACGTACAGCTGGAGGACAACACCACGCCTGCGTCAACATCTATATACGCTCTAAACGAACCGAAACTGGGCCTCGCAAAAAAAAACGACGCAGGCATGTCACCGTTCCAACGCGCGCGTATGACGAAGGTTGCCACTCCGGACACAAGCCTCTCAAAACAGCTGGAGCAAACAGCAACGCGCGCAAATAAGCCCGCACATAGATGCGCCGCTTCTCTGCCTTCCCCTGCCCACGGTCAGACGGCATCGGGCCTCTCTATACACAACGGACACCTCACGTACGTACCACACATCTCCCCCCGATGGGGTGGAAGTAGCTCCCGTCTCCGCTTTGCGATACGACAAAAAAGAAAACGAAACCAGCACGCTGACCAGCAGCCAACACACCTACAATCGGCCACAACCGCCGCCTATATCAACCATACCAAGCGGGAACATAGTTTTTACTTGTTCCTGAGGGGGGTCAACCGGCCTCGTGATGAGAGACGACGCCCAGCCCAACCCGTGCAAATCGAATCCAACCCTCGATCATTTCTGCTTGGATTCATGGAAGTCGTCGAGCTTGGCGTACTCCGCCTGAACTCTCTCCTCCATGATCGCGACGAACTCCGCCTGCTTCAAGGTTTCCCCGGGCGGCGGCAGCACCTCTTCCCCGAAGGCGACGCTTGCGGGGCCCCTGTCGGCCTGCCGCCGCTCGCCGAGCTCCTTGTTGACCTTTCGCATGCGTGGGGGGGGGACATGTGCGCTGAATAGTTCCGCTCGTCATGGTTGCCGCTCAACGTAAAAAGTATGGTGAGGTGTTGAAATGTAGCGGTGATGCTTCGTTCGTGATGGGGGGCTCATCTGCGGCTATGTACGACAAAAATCGTAGCCATCGCTCACAGTTTGCATTGCGAAACAACGCACGAGCGACCGACGACGCGCTTGTTCGAAATCCCCTCGTTTCCTCATCACCTCGTGGAGCCAACACGAGCGCTGGAAAAACAAATTCAACATGAATCCTCCGGGAAAACTACTTCAAGAAGAACACGTGTACGTCATCTTCGGCCGAAAGGGTACCTATCCACACGAGATAGTCCGCTGCACCCCCCCTCTATTTACCAACAGCCGTGATTGCGCCCGGGTCCGTTTCGAAACGTGTTCGTAGCGGAGGGAGTCAGCCCTGAGCAGGGAGTCTCTGGCGGCCTACAACTGCGTTGTCCGCAAAAGGTCGGCGGCTGAGTGGCATTGTGTCTGCCTGTCTGTTTTCGTCCCTTCGGTTCCATATACGCACGAACGTCTTTACGTGTGTTTGAAACGTACCAGGCGGGGCCACACGGCAGCGTGACGAGGAAAAACATGAAAAAAGAAACAACAGATGTGGGCGTTGTAGGCAAACCCTACCTAGCAGCAAGACGGAAAAAAAAAAGGCAGGTTGGTATAGGCAAATCATAATCATTACACACAACAAACACAAAAAAACCGACCTGGTCCGGAGGGGGCACAAGCTTGTTGGTCCACATCGCGAAGGGAAAGAAGTGCGTCACCGGCCCCGTCTTGTTCCTCCCCATGGCCTTTGCGGCCATAAGCCGGAACACCTCCACCGACTTGGGGTCGTAAGGGGACACGACGAACTTGCCCGTCTCCGGATCCGGCCTGTCTCGGCCCCCGCTAGGTGCCACCCAGATGAATTGCCCCCCTTCGCTCTGCAACGTTCCGGGGGGAGGGAGGGGGGGGAGCTCGTTGGTTATTGGGTATTTTGGGGGGGGAGGGAGGGGGGATTTTATGTTTTTCATGCCTTAGCGGTTTAGAACATTGACCACGCGTCCTCGAGAAGACGGAGCAGTGTTTCCACAGGACCGCCAACGACGGCCAATGTACCAAAGGTGACTCATTGGGGGTGGGGGTTCAGATGGAGGGAGGGGCGGTACTCGTTGGGTGTTGCGTATTTGCGGTTCGTCTTCTCTGTCACCGCTATGTATGTAGTGGCATGTACCACTTGGCTGGGTTTGAAGAGTCGGAGCACTCACAGACCCTATTACTGACAAACTGAATCATATCCACATTGTAGTTTGGAGCTATTTCCACGCAGTAACATACACAATAGTCACGAATAGCCCCCAGATAGACCGGAATTTCAACTTCTCCTGCCGGTTGGCAGAGAACAACAAAAATAGAGCTTTTTACCTTGACCCCTTTTTACCTTGACCCCTTACCTTCGGCCGGTTGAAAGCCATGGCATAGATCGCATTCCAACAACAAAAACAAATCTTGAACAAAAAAACGTGTAAAGACTGAGGAGGAACTTGTTCTCTCCCTAAAGGGCAACCATTTCTGGCTGCAAATAGCGCGCAGCAGGACACCGCACCAAGCAGCGAGTGCAGCAGCAGCCAAGACGCGACAAGAAACAGGTCACCAGCCAACCCCTTGGGATACATGGGAATTGGTGGGAAGCATGTTGCAGACCAAGTGCATAGGAGAAACGTCTTCGCACTCTGTACTTCCAAGTCTGTATTATTCCTGCGCCTGGAGCGCATCAATATATGCGACTTGTGTTCGACGACAGGTGTGCATATTGTAGCCTCACCATCATCTCCGCCATCTTTTTCAAGGTACGGACGTTGTGCTTCTGCTTCTCGCCCTTGAGTTCCGGGGGAGTCTCCATGTACTTCTTGGAGAAAATGCTGCCGTTGTGCCCATCACGACAAACGAATCAAATAAAACCAGAGGGTTTCGTTTCAACAGTGGGCACAACCAACCAGAGCAGGTGAGCGGGGGGGCGGGGCAGGCAGAGCGAGGAACGGAGGGATTGAGAGATGGTTCGAGTCGCCCAGCCAATAAGCGGATCGAATCCGCAAATGTGATTTACGATTTGCTGTGCTCTGCTCTATTATCGCATCTTGTCATTAACATCAGGAACGACCCGCGTATGGAGGTGCCCTTATTAAGGTTCCAACTCCCCAACGTTCGTCGAGGACGATTCCCGCTTTCCGCACACACACACCCACCCCTCCCCGTGCTTCCACTTAAGAGTCGGGGCGGGGCAGGCGATCAGTCCACCCATTTCGTTCCTCGCCTCATTGTTTTCTCGCGGACGTTGACCGGTGCCCACCCCTTTGGGGGTTGGCTGTGACCCGTACCCACCACACATTTAGCTACATAGCCCCTCTCGCTCCGTATGTCTGTATGTCCATCTCTCTTCGTGTTACGCATAACATTACATGCAGGGAAGTATATCTTCTGTCTCTGTCTCTGTCCCTGTCCCTGTCTGTCTGTTTGTCTCTCTCTCTCTCTCTTCCTCGCCACCAACTCGCCTACTCTCACCAGAAAAGGTTTCTGCCCATGCTGAAGGGGATCGCCAACGGGTCCGTGGTCACGCGGTGCCCCGCCACGTTGATCAGTCGCGACGCCTCGTCCCCGTACCCCTCACGCTCCATCAGGAGGCTGATCACCTGGGGATCGGCTTCCGTCTGCACCGTTAACAACAAACCGCGGGCGAAAAAAAGAATAGGGAGGGAAATCGGGGAATGACAGATATGAACAAGACCCAGCCAAATAGAGGAGCATGGATGCAACGAGGAAAAAAAAAATCTCTGGATGGAAAAATTTCGTTAGACGCTAGCTCTTTGCTGTTGCTTCCGTCCCGACCATCAACATTTGAACGACAGCAGTAGCAGCAGCGGTAGCAGCAAAAACAAAAAACAACACCACGAGGAGAACTAAAAGCCCGAAGGTGATAGACACAGCAACGGATGAACGATACGAGACGACAAAATCCTTAAAGTCTTGGCGTGTGTCCGTCAAAACAACGACAAAGGCAACAAAAAAACAGGTACGAAGCCAACAGAAAACGGAGGGTACATAAACGACCAGCTTCTCAGAAGCAGTGAATCGAGTACAGCACATATCCCACAGAGCAAACAACAGCAACAACACATCAAGTAGCTGGCCTCCTAGAGCAAACAACAACAACAACAACAACATAAACCACACCTACAACCCAGCACTAAACACACCCACCCACCTGGTGGTTAGACATGAGGAAGACGTTCTCTCCCTTGGCCAGGTACTCGGCGATCTTCTCCAAGTTCTCCTTGCCCTCGAGCCTCGAGTTGTCCAGCTCGATGAGGGGACGGAAGAAGTCGTTCCCCCACGTGTAGAGGTCCACCGGGTCCCTCGTTGATTCGTGGAACAGCTCGAACTCGTACGGCTTCTTCATGTTCTCGGGCACCATCTACGGAGATGCGCAAGGCCGAGAATGAAAAAATGGCCGGGGGGTGGGTGGGTGGGTGGGTGGGTGGTACTCACCGTCATGATCATGCACCCCTTCAAAGCCTTTCAACTTACAGACACGATCTTCCCGACAAAGGCCACGATGAATCAAGCTGGGTTTCCGCGAGGGACCACCCATGAAGAGCACCAAGCGCGAAACGCCGTGGGGTGGCGCCTATGTAGCCACCAACCGCTTTTGTAGGGGAGGACTCAAGGCACCTTGCGCACATCATTCTATGCTTATGACTGCTTCGTAGTGTTTGATGGCGTGGTTGAGTGGAGAAAAATCGCTACTTGGCTTTTAGTGAGATGCTCACATTTCTCCAACTTTCGACGCGATTCTCGGAAGCCTTTCGTTCGTGCACACGTTGACCGCACCGCGAAAAAGCAGTCGCGCCAATTCGTAGCAGAATGTAATCTCATAAGGGTACGACAGAGACAACGCATCTACAAAAAAGGGGGGGGGCGGGAAGGATCGGGATGGGTGTGGCANGGGGGGGGGGGGGGGGGGGGGGGGCGGGGGGGGGCGGGGGGGGGGGGGGGGGGGTACCGTATCTTCCACAGCTGGTCACAAAACTTACGGTTTCCCTACTGTATGCACTTCTTGTCTCCCCTTCAAAAAGAGGTGAGTAATCACCGATCAACACAACGAATCAAGCAAGACACCAGAAAAAGCCCCCTGCCCGCTCTCGGTCTTCGTCATCGGGGTTGAGTTTTCGTCGCTTGGCAACAACGTTGTAAAACAAGTCGATCACTTCGTGAACTCGGCAACCAGGTTACCGCTTTGTTTTGTCACCTCTGTTTTTAATTTTTGCGGTAACCATAATGGTGGTCGAGTAGATCATGTTGTGCGGGGTGGAGAACCCTCACTCCGCGCAAGGGGGATGATCGCACTACGTTGTGTTTGATTGGTCAAGCACCCTCGAGGCACAGTACTTACAACTGTCTCTGGAAGTGAAAGCACCAGAAAATAAATCAAGTCACACGCAGCTGTCATCCGCACGCAAGGAAGTACGCACAAGATACCGAAAACCCTTAGCAGGATGCGGCGCACCCTTCATGCGACTCGCCGGATGCCTCACGGCGCTTCGCGCTTGGTGATGTGAGAGCCTGGTCCGGTGAGAACCCGGCGTGCTCCGTCCCGGCTT